GGACGCGGTAGGTGTCCGCACCAAACGGCGTGGTTCTGGTCTCGATGGCTTCCTGTAGCGCTTGCCCTGGCCTCCAGAATCACCTTAGAGCGTTATTTAACATTGAATGGTTAAGGGAAGGCTTTTCTCCTCTAAGAATTTTTTTTCTTCTTTTTTAAACAAAAAAGCAAAAGTTAAACTCTGCTTTATCGTTTTTTTCCCCTCATAAGACATCCTGGAGAAGTGCAAGGGAAACCCTGCACAGCCAGTGCCAAATACAGGAAATACTCCGGATAACTCACAGAACTCTCACCCATTTCTTAACAGCGGCGGGGGGGGGTTGGTTTACGCCCCTCAGAGCAAAAAGGTGGTGTTTGCTTAACGCCCTTCAGAGCACAGCACGGATCCTGCTGCTCGCAGTGCCAAGGACTGCTGGTGGACTTTATCTTGGGGATAAAGATAACCCCAAAACAGAGGGGTTTGTGGCAGGCCCAAGGTTGTGGTCGCAGTACCACTGTGGGAGTCCAAGGGCTTCCTGTCAGTCGGGTCTCTGTCCAGACACAAATTGCACTTTTACGTCTAGTTTTAAAGAACAAGCGTAGCAATTTTAGCAGACTCCTCCAATAAATTGGTGCACAGGGTTGTCTGTCTTTCCCGACACTGGCTTTGTCAGAACTTGCTATGGAGAGAGCTTCTTACCAAGATTTCTGTAAAATATAACACGTTAGATACAACCAGCTAGAAGTGTTATTACTTTACTTTCCCTGTGTCCTTCCTGAGGGCATGCCAGCGTTGCGCAGAAACCTTTTGAAGTACCACGCAAGATACTATGAAACCTTATTCTGAACTTTTGCAATATGATGATTATTCACCAGCTTTTCCTTCCTAAATGCAACTCTTTCTGCCTCCTGTTATGTTTGGGGATTCATGAACCAGTGTTACCACATCCAAGTTGTAGCCTCTGTGGTTCTTTTTTTCCTTATGCCTCTAAGAGTCTTTCATAAAACTCATAAAAAGACCACACGTGCACACAGGAGGCAGAGAAGGGCTGAAAAAAGTCTTGCTGCAGACCTGAGGTGCCTGACCCTTCCCATAACCTTCTCTCTCAGTGTAAATCAGAAATTCTGTGTTCAGTATGACTGAAATGAGCTCTGTGCTTAATTGCCCTTGTCTCTTGGCTTAGGCTGTTGTCCTGTGTGCTTATCTGGAGATAGGAGGCATTGATCTCAGGGATCGGCCTGTGATTGAGCTGGGAGCTGGAACTGGATTGCTGGGAATAGTGGCCACTTTATTAGGTAAGGGCTTTTTTGATTGTTTGTTCAAAGCAATTTACAGCTGTAGTAAAACTCACACTTTTACATCTACCTGCCTGTTATGGAAGTTAGCACCAAAGCTACATATGTGAGCTGTGATGTTTCCTGTCCGAGTCATCTTCCTTTCTTGTTAGACTTTGGAGCCTGCTGCGTTATTTATTGTAGCGATGGTGCCACTGCAGTTTACTTCATGGTGGGACCCTGTTAAGGCTGATGCCTGTTACCATGGCACTCGGCTCACCAGCATTCAGTTCTGCAGCTATTCTCCCCTGGGGAGCAAGTGCTGTGCTTGCCGACTTCCACTTGTCCTAGTACGCTGCACAGATAAAGCTACAGACAGAAACCACTCTGAGCTTGCGTAAGCCTTGTTAGCCTATCTTGCAGATAGGGAAACCAAAGTCTGGAGAAATGAAGTGATTTGCTTATGATCTGTCTGTGGCTGAAGCAGGGACTGGGTACTATGTTAAATTTGTGCTAACTGTCCCAGGTTAACTTAGTAATTCAAAGCTCTAGTGGCTGTGGAAGGTGCCTACTGAAATAATAAAAACAAAGCAGTCTGACAAAATACAATCATGCCATGCAAAATCACACAGGCATAACTTTTATCTGACCTGTGAAAGAGGCTCTCTAGCAGCCTCTTTCCTACTGGACAGATATGGAATTGGTGCAAGTTAATTGTAACAATTGCTGTAACTTACTCTGTTGTCACCTATGGAAAGGCAGAAAGTAACTCCTCTACTTTCATGCACTAAGAAAAAGCTCCAGAAAACATTTTTTTGTTCCCTACCCAACTTAATCTTCATGTGGAGTAGCTTTATATTCTTAAGTGACTGGTGAAGGGTAGGATGTTTGTAGATAGTGGGCTTTTTGCTTGTTTTGTTCTTTTGTTTGTTTGTTTTTAATCAGGCAGCTCAAGGGAGTTGTTAATGTTTAACAGGAACTCAGGAGCCTGCTTGACTTAGAGCACTGTATTCCAAATGCTGTTATGTATGGACATCGACTACTTGTCTGACACATGTGCCCCTGTGCCGCTTAGGTGCTCGTGTTACCATCACAGACAGGGCAGCAGCACTGGAGTTCCTAGAGGCAAATGTAGAGGCTAACTTACCTTCTGAACTGCGTCCGAGAGCTGTGGTGAAGGAACTAACTTGGGGAAAAGACCTGGGTAACTTCCCTCCAGGAGCATTTGACTTCATCCTGGGTGCAGACATCGTTTATCTGGAAGAAACGTTTGCAGAACTGCTTCAGACACTGGAGCACCTGTGCTCAGAGCAAACTGTGATTCTTCTTTCCTGTCGTATCCGCTATGAACGGGATCACAGATTCCTGAAGATGCTGAGAGGCCGTTTCTCTGTATATGAGGTCCACTATGATTCCAGTAAGGATGTTCATATCTACAAAGCACAGAGGGGTGGTCACAAGGATGACTTTTGACTCTGTGCTTTGTTCAACCACTGATACTGTTCAATCCTCCTCTTGTTTCAACTCAATACACTTGTTCCTAAGCATATAATTGCAGTTGTGTTACTTCACTGGCTTCTTGTTCTGGTGGTCTTGTCTGATCACTTGGTCTGATACAGCAAGGACTGTACTTCTGTTCTGCATAGTGAACCTCTGCTTCATTTCTCAGTAGAGTTGTATAGGGTCTTGCACTGACTTTTTATCAAATGTAATTTTTGAAACTGATTTAAGTTGCAGAAGTCTTAGGCATCAAAAATGTAATCAAAAAATCTGTTGTTTAAAATCAAACCACACTTAATTTCTGTGGAAAACTTAGAGTGGGTTTTTTCCCCTTATCACTTCCTTAACTCTAGAAAAGTAAAAGTAGATGAAATATAAGCTAAGACTCCAGCTCTAAATGCTTTAACTCTTCAGGCCTGCATCTTAAATGTTGTGGTAAAAGAAGCCATTTAAAGGGCAAAAACGACAAAGGCAGCTGCTATAAAGTTGTTCTGTTGCTGTCACTGCTGAACTGAAGAGGCATGGGGAAACAAAGAACAGGTCTGTGTGGGCGAGTGGTTGGGAATCAATATTGCAGAATAAGCCAACTTAGAAATCAATGGTGTTTCTACCTGACTTGCAAGTGTGGAGGCTGTGCCTGCAGTACCACAGCAGTCATGGTTCTTCAGTTGTCCCCAACAAGATAGTTTTCCCTCCCACCATTCAAGGCTCCTTGAAGCAGATACACATGCACATATACCAGCAGAGAAAGTGAAACAAGGAGACTAAAACTGTTCTTGAAATATCAATTAGTCCTTGACTCCTAAAGTACCACTAACTAATGTTCTACTTTCTGCCTTTCTTTGTGGCTCACTGTCTCTGAGAGCTGTTATTTAGGAGAGGAGGGTGCTGCTGTAAAATCTTTGTAGCTGGGTGAGTACCTATTCTTGTATTACTTGGGACCTTGGGGCAGTGTCTAGATTTCGGTGTGCTTTCTGTGCACAGTGGTAGTTAGGTGCTCTTCTACGTAACTGATTTCATACCTTGAGCTTGTAAAAACACCTCTGTGTGTTTATCCCACAAGATCCTATGTGAAAAATGTTGCAGCCTGGAATCCGGCTCGCACTAGCAGCAGGCTTCCTTCTCATTCTAGTGGTAGAAAAATGAAACTGGTGATAACAATGAGCTAACGGAAAATGTCTGACAATGGGCTAACACTTCTAAATGCAGGAATTGCTATAGTACTTTTTTGTGTGGATGTGGAATTTTTTTTTTTTTAAACTTAATTACAAAGCCCCAGGTCAGTTCAGGCTTTAAGTATGTGCATGGCTTTGACACTGGCAACAGCAAACACCAGCAGCTGCTCCAGGTGTTAGGAGCTCTTTATCACTTCTGCTTCCGTCAGACTTCCTGACTGGAAAAGATGCAGAGGGTCTGTGGTCCAGAAGTGATGTGGAGACTGTAATCTGGACATGACACATTTATCATTACAGCTCCCATGAATGAGGCCTGAAGGTCTTGTGTTTCATCCCTGATGTGTTTCTTGTGTGTTTTCAGTTAAGTTCCTTGCTTGGCTCTGGACTGCTCTGAAACACTTGCTTACAACAGTAACCTCAGAAGCCACACGGTGTCACTAAAACAGTACTTACGCAGCTGGCTGGGAATTTTCAGTCTGAAACTAGAGTTGAAGTCCTTTGAGGGGAGGAAATCAGCACCTTTAATTAAAAACAGAACATGGTATGAGCTGTAATGATCCAGACATGGCTTTTTCTGTCCTATCAACTGGGCAAGCCACGGTTGAAAAAAAATTATGAGTTCTCTCCACTGTCTCTGGCTCTAGTTTTCAGAGTGTGACTGTAAGTTCTCACCACTCCTCTTCCTTTTCCTCCCACTGGTGTTTCCTTCTCTCTGAGCTGGTCTGTGGTGACTCTGTTAGGCTCCCCCCGGGCTGGGGCTGGCAGAAAGCAGCGTGCTGGTGCTTGGGCTTGTGAGTGCACGTGAGTTGGTCGGTGGGGAGACCCTGCTACATGGCTGTGCTTGGCCCTCGCAAGGGCCTGCAGCTTGCAACACCAAGAGCCTTAGCAGCTTGCATTGTTGCTGTAGTAAGAATGTGCTTAAAAAGCCTGCCTAAATAGCACAGAATACAGCCCAGTGGAGTACAGAATAAAGCCTAGTGCGGCAGCCTATACACTTTTAAGAAGGGGCTTTGCTCCAGGCCTTGCTTTGACAATAGGAAAAGTTTTGTACTTTTAAACCCAATCAGTTTAATTGCATCTAACTGTTTAGCAGCTTTCAGCGTCTGTTTTCCCATTGCTGCTGTTATAGCCCATAGCCTTCCTGCAAGAGCAGGCATGTGCCAGGAGAGACCAGGCCTAGCTGCTTGTGTTGCTGTTGCACAGCAGCTGTATGCAGACTCCAGGGTGTATGTTTGCAGACTGAAGCAATGCTACTGCCCATAAATAAATACTTTTGGAGAAAAGCCTGAGATGACACTGGCAGGTCAGGTGATTGCCTTGCCCCTGACCTGCAGAGCTGAGCTCTTGGCAGCACCTCCTCAAGGGGACACCTCGGACCACTACTGGGGTGTGGGCACTCTAGATTCAGACCAGACCCGGGAATGTTATGGTTAGGCCACCACCACAAGCACATTAGTTCTGGTTGCTTTTTAAGCTACAGCATTTAGGGGCAGGCACCAACTGTGAGGAGGTTTACAGCCCATTTCTGCTCGGCAGTGCCAGCACCCACCCACACCAGGCAGTGAGTAGTGCCTTCTGTTGTTCCACGTTGGGCTTTGCAGCTTTTTCATATTCCCATCACACTTGGCTTCAGGGAGATGTCAGGAATGAACCACGCCAGACGTGCAGGACAGAAGTAGCAGAGGTGTAATTGCCCAGTGAGTGAGCACACAGAGAGAGCCCTCCACAATGACACCTGCAGATTCTGGTGTCTTGACCAACTGACCCCAGGAGAGCTCCTGCTCTCTATGAGATGATGTGTGGTAACGCTTCAGCAGCTGTAACACCCTGCCCAAGCACTTTCTGTCACCCTGTTCCAACACTAGATTCTCTTTTGGGTGGTACCATTGCCTTGGTCCTGTTTTGTAACAGATGCTGTGAACTCATCTGTAGGGAGGATGCGCCTGGGCAGGGGTCCCTGAGTAGTGGGACAATGCATAAATAGTCTCTTGAGAAATAAAATACTCACCCTAGGGAGAGGATCCAAGTCACAGGGAAGTGACCAGACAAGACACGAACATGCTGTCAGATTGTGAGACCATCCGTGAAACATGCCATTCTGCAAGGGAACAAACTTTTCTAAAATGTCATTGCAACTAAAGTCATGTTTGATTAATATTAAGACATGGAGTATGAAATTCAGCTCTGTATCTTATGGAGACAGAGCTTCGAGGTGCAGCAGTGTCAGAAGAATCAGGTTTACTAGCTGACCTACTGACTGCACAGGGATCTGTGTTACCTGATTCTTTTCAGTGTGAAATTCAAGCCAAAATGCATTTTTATCTCACAAGCTAACCCCTGTTTGGGATTCTCCCTCATTACTGAGATGCAGATTTTTCTGAGCAAGTACGTGAATGGCGTTATGAAAATGCTCAGTTGTGAAAACCACAAAATCCTCACCATAATGAGCTGACCTTACTGCTTCCCCTTGATTTCACTGGAGGTGTGTTTACCTCAGTGCTGAATTTGTTCTTCTGGCTTTCATCCCAGCATTTGGATCCAGCCTGGCAGATTACATAATTGGGGTGCGATCCTTGCAGTGTTTGCTGCCTTCTGTTCTGCTCTGTTATTAACACCAGTAGTACGTGGTTTACAGAAACGCTTACAAGTGGAAAAGACAGTGTATTTAAACTGAAAGGGAAGTCTTTCACACATTATTAAACAATGGAACTAATTGCCACCAGCATGGATACTGGAAAACAGATTTTAAAATATCAGAAGTGGAAGAGAAACTTTGTTTTTCAGGACTTAACCTCTCACTAATCTAATTCAATTTAATTAAGATTTAAAAAGCCTTCCCTTTGGGGAAAATAACTCAGAAATACTTACAACAGGCCACAGATCATGAGAGTACACTATAGTCTGCCTAAAATATGCCTTTTCCCATATTCCTATCTAGCCACCATTTGCCACTAAATTAGTGTAAATGGAACATTCCTAAAAAACTGCTCAAAAAAGAGACTTTGTAGAGTTTTTTAAAGCATGTTTATGTGACTGCACATAAATGTTTGTGTAAAAAGGGAGTTATGACAGTTTATACCACAAAGGTTACAGTAAGAAAAAGCACTTTTTATGACAATAATTCACAAATTCACAAGAATCACTTTAATATACAAAGCAATTACTACCATTCTGAAACACAAAGCAGCTAATATGTACATAGTGTTAATAAAATGCATTATAACCCAGTACAATTTTTTTTTTTTAAAAAAACACAGATAAAGCACAAAAAATTAAGTAAAAAAAACCCAAAACAAAACAAACACAACAGGGATGTTTCTAGATTTTTGAGGAAATGTAAATAAGAATTTATTTTCCCCTAATAATGAATTTTCATTTAGTCTTTTAACTTCCACAAGTATGTGGGAGTTGAGCTCAAATACCCTGTTCTGTGCTGACATGGTGTGGGTAAAGAATCAGAAATGCGGATGAGGTGAGCTTACTCTTTCCAGCTTACATTACAAAGAGAGAATAATAACCCTCGCTCTGGAAGCTTCCCTGAAAAACACTGTTCCAAAACAATTTCAAATTCTAAATCCAGAGTAGAAATAACTCATTTTTGAAGTGAACAACTGATCTGTGGACAAGTCTGTGGAGGGGTTGGCTGCCAACTAGCACCTCTTCTTGCCCTGTTCCACATCCCATCCCTAGAAGTCCATATAAGCAGCACAGTTTCAAATCTCATACAACTCAAAAGTTCTGTAACTTTTTAAAATTCAGGTTTTAATATAAATAATTGTCATTACACACAAAAAAAATGGAGTGTCACCTGGCTAAAACACAACTTGTGGAAAGCATCGAACATCCTCAGTTCTTAACAGTGGCCGTTTCCCCACA